CAGTAATTGACTGGTTGTGGTTTTTGACTAACAGTTATTGACTGGTTGTGGTTTTTGACTACCAGTAATTGACTGGTTGTGGTTTTTGACTACCAGTAATTGATGGTTGTGTTTTTTTATTATGAGTAACTGACTGGTTGTGTTTTTTTTGACTAACAGTAATTGACTGGTTGTGGTTTTTGACTAACAGTAACTGACTGGTTGTGGTTTTTTACTAACAGTAATTGACTGGTTATGGTTTTTGACTACCAGTAATTGACTGGTTATGGTTTTTGACTACAAGTAATTGACTGGTTGTGGTTTTTTACTAACAGTAATTGACTGGTTGTGGTGTTTGACTAATAGTAATTGACTGGTGGTGGTTTTGACTAACAGTAATTGCCTGGTTGGGGTTTTGACTAACAGTAAATGACTGGTTGTGGTTTTTGGCTACCAGTAATTGACTGGTTGTGATTTTTTACTAACAGTAATTGACTGGTTGTGGGTTTTGACTAATAGTAATTGACTGGTTGTGGTTTTGACTAACAGTAATTGTCTGGTTGTGGTTTTTGACTAACAGTTATTGCCTGGTTGTGGTTTTTGACTACCAGCAATAGACTGGTTGTGGTTTTTGACTAACAGTTATTGCCTGGTTGTGGTTTTTGACTACCAGGAACTGACTGGTTGTGGTTTTTGACTACCAGGAATTGATGGTTGTGTTTTTTTATTGTGAGTAACTGACTGGTTGTGTTTTTTTTGACTAACAGTAATTGACTGGTTACGGTTTTTGACTAACAGTAATTGACTGGTTGGGGTTTTGACTAACAGTAAATGACTGGTTGTGGTTTTTGGCTACCAGTAATTGACTGGTTGTGTTTTTTTACTATGAGTAACGTACTGATTGGTTGTGGTTTTCGACTAACAGTAATTGACTGGTTGGCGTTTTGACTAACAGTAATTGACTGGTTGCGGTTTTTGACTAACAGTAAATGACTGGTTGTGGTTTTTGACTACCAGGAACTGACTTGTTGTGGTTTTGACTACCAGGAACTGACTGGTTGTGGTTTTCGACTTCCAGTAATTGACTGGTTGTGGTTTTTTACTAACAGTAATTGACTGGTTGTGGGTTTTTTGACAACCAGTAATTGACTGGTTGTGGTTTTTGACTAATAGTAATTGGCTGGTTGTGGTTTTTGACTAACAGTTATTGCCTGGTTGTGGTTTTTGACTACCAGGAATTGATGGTTGTGTTTTTTTATTGTGAGTAACTGACTGGTTGTGTTTTTTTTGACTAACAGTAATTGACTGGTTGTGGTTTTTGACTAATAGTAATTGACTGGTTGTGGTTTTGACTAACAGTAATTGACTGGTTGTGGTTTTTGACTAACAGTAACTGACTGGTTGTGGTTTTGATGACTTTATTTTACAGATTCCAGAGGAACACCTCGGTTCCCTATGGGTATGGAGGGCTAACAACGAGAGTATGCCAGGGAAGGAGTTGTTTCCTCCTGGTGAAGGTGTCCCTAATGCAGACACAGTGCTTTATATCACAGCAAAGACAACAAGGACTTGTTATCAGAGAAATGTAAGTCTTACTAGTACATGTACTCTTAATGTAGAATTATGTAAATTCTGATAAAGTGTGGAAAACCAGCTTTACCGACACTACTGACTATTATTAGTTATATAGTCAGTTACTGACCCTCTACAGAACCGTACAGGGTCAGTAAGATTTATAGGGGGCGAGGGTTGAGCCCGAGGTACCAGCAGGCTGTTGAAGTACAATGTAGCTGAGGCAGTAAATATGTAAATTCTGTGGATGAATATATGCCCATGTGATGTCCAGATTTAAACATGTAGATTTATTTTCTTGAATGTAGTATGTGTAGTAAAGACTTATCAATTTTACTCGGAGCTGATGAAAAAATAAAATGGTACCCCCTACACATCGCCCACTTACTCCAGGCTGGGTAATGATATATACAACTTTTATATAGCCCACTAAAGCCAATCTATTATAATCTGTTGTAGAATCACATTACACTGGCATACTCTGGCTACTGTCAACTGGACCAGTATGATCGCCCAATCGCAGGCTACATCAACTTCTGTCCCTACCTCATCAGAGCTACAAACATGACACAGGAAAAAGTGTACATGGTAACATATACCCTGGTAAAAAAGTATCTCTCCCCCAATCGCAGGCTACATCAACTTCTGTCCCTACCTCATCAGAGCTACAAACATGACACAGGAAAAGGGGTACATGGTAACGTATTCTGAGTGAGGTAGGGGCTATCTTCCTTTTACATTTACATTGTATATGCGTAGTTACCAATAATGGCATGACATGACGGGAGAGAAAGAATATGTTACTTATTCTTGGGTGTTCCTTAAAAGGGCTGATCTAAATCCGTCTACGCTTTCTGTGCACACTACTTTATCATCCAGTGGGTTCCAATCAAGAGATGTTTTGATGAAGAAGGAGTTCTTGTATGCTTCCTGTTTGTATCCTGGGATGAGTAATGGCCTTGAGTTGTTGACAATGTTCCTGTTTACTGTTGCTGATGTTTCATAGTTCACATAACGCTTTGTGTTTGTTTTTACTACAATTATTTGTTGTTGAAAATTATTTTTGTGCCTGTTTCGACCGGTTTTATTGCTCCACCTGTGCTGGTGGTGTGCCACGTGGTCCGCCATTATTGTGTGTAAATTTCCGACCTCTGTTAAGTTCAGTGGCAGTTTGTTTCGGCAAACATTATTTATTTCACCGTTTCAGATTTATATTACGGGTGAAATTCTTTCTACGTTGTGTACGTTTCTACTATCGTTGTTTATTATATTCTCCCGTGTTTGTCTGCTTGTAAACTTAGTTTACTTTCGCTTTGGAGGGTATGTCTCGGTCGGGACAGCGACGAGGGACAGCTCATGGGTGTTCCCATTTCTTCGGGGAACGGGACCCTTATGATGCTTGTCCCCAGTGTCGTCCATGCAGTGAGGTTTCGCCTTGTGAACTTTGTTCACAGACTGAATCTCAGGACAAGCCCTTCATTGTTCCCGAGTGACCCTCAGCTTGCCGTAAGATAGATTTGTCTGCTTCTTCCGGTAAGCGAGGGAAGCTGGGAGGTAGGGGTGGTGCCACCAGCTCTCTGGGGTCTGGTGGTACTGTCTCTGTTCCTGTCTCGGGGGGGTCTCGCTTCGGTGAATCCCTCTCGTGAGCAGGGGGTAGCCCTTCCTGTTCAGGAATTCCCTGGTGTAGGGGAGGGGCAGCCCGACCCTGGCTTGGCACAGCCCAGGGTCGAATTGGCCGGGAACGCCTGTAAGCTTTCGCACTTGCCTTCGGGTAGGGACTACCGGCCGCCGGTCACTGACTGTCAGTGATCCCGGCATTCCTGGTGGTTGTGTCGGTGGGGACAGTCTTGGTGCCGGGCCTGTTCTTTCTGGTTCTCTTGCCTGGCAAGGTCTCGATTTGTCTCGACCAGATCTTCCTGTGGGGTCGTCTTTTCGCTTTCCTTCCAGAGTGAAAGGAAATTACGGAAGATGCATGGGCCTTGTCTGTGGTCAAGGAGGGGTTAGGCATTCCGCTGTATCCCTTGGATTTTATGTAGGATGGGTTGTCAATAAATATACATAATTTATTTAATTGTTAATATCTAAAACATAAACAGAAAATGATTAATCAAAAGTTGTAAGATGTTCATTTCACAAGCTAAATTGGAGTTATCTCCCCTGCACTGTTTAATTGGATTGTTATGACAGAATATATGTAATGTTTGTAAATAAGTTTGGAAAGGACTTAAATAGGCTTAGCCTGATGTCCAATCCAATTGACATATATAAAGTCAATAAAATCTGATGAAATGGCATTCCGCTAGTGCGGGATCTGCCCTTAGCATCAGAGCCAATCTTTTTTCCTCCACAGGGGGATCCAGAAAAGTCTCTGGCGCTCCAGGAGGAAGTAAAGACCATGCTTACCAAGGCCAAACTTGTCATCTATTATTGTGTACCTTTCCAACTTGTCATCTATTCTTGTATACAATTCAAACTTGTAATCTATTCTTGTATACAGTTCAAACTTGTCATCAGTTCTTGTGTACCGTTCAAACTTGTCATCTATTCCTGTGTACCTTTCAAATACATGTATGTCTACAGATAAACCAAGTCAAAATTACTATGCATATTACATATTCAATAAACTTCTAAATGTGAAATATTTTGGAAAAGGAGATACATTTGTAAGGTACGAAGCATATATCTTCAGGATGTTTTTCTTATTTAACCTTTTTAGAGTGTCGTCCATGAGCTGTTCCATGCCCTAGGGTTCTCCAAAGGCTTGTTTGACAAGTTCAGGGACTGTTCTCACTCAGGTAAATAAAATTCTCTTTTATTGTCTGTTCAGCGCTTTCTCCAATACCTGAAACACGCTTTTGTTTTTTCATAGGTAGTTCATCCCTGTTAAGAAGATATTAACATAATTGAAAACACAGATTAAAATTACAACACAACAGTTAACCTTTTTCGTAGTGGAGGGTCAAAAGAGGGAAAATGACATGGCTTTTCACAGGAAAATACGGTAAATATAAACTAATTTGTACCAACAAATTTAGTTACAAGTACAGTAGAATGTTTTCTGCAGTGTGGATTATAAATCTAAATAAATATAAATTCCTGTGCTTGTTACAGTTGAAGGAAACTGTCCCCGGCGTATGTCGAGAGTGGTACGAGAGATCTACGGTGTGACACGTCTCGTCACCTCGTCTGTCATACGACATGCTCAGGAACACTTTGGCTGTCTTACTGAGGAGAGGTTTGGGGGACCGCTGCATGTGGAGGTAGGATTTATAGACTAAAATAGGCATTGTCCACCTTAAGGGTTAAGTCAACTTTCAGAAAAGTATAGTTTGTTGGTTGTGCATATTGATGTAGTACAATGTATAGGGGGATTCAAGGTGTTACCATTACAATGTATAGGGGGATTCAAGGTGTTACCATTACAATGTATAGGGGGATTCAAGGTGTTACCATTACAATGTATAGGGGGATTCAAGGTGTTACTATTACAATGTATAGGGGGATTCAAGGTGTTACCATTACAATGTATAGGGGGATTCAAGGTGTTACCATTACAATGTATAGGGGGATTCAAGGTGTTACCATTACAATGTATAGGGGGATTCAAGGTGTTACCATTACAATGTATAGGGGGATTCAAGGTGTTACCATTACAATGTATAGGGGGATTCAAGGTGTTACCATTACAATGTATAGGGGGATTCAAGGTGTTACCATTACAATGTATAGGGGGATTCAAGGTGTTACCATTACAATGTATAGGGGGATTCAAGGTGTTACCATTACATTTGTGTGTGGTTTTTACATAACAAATGTGAAGTATAATATTTTACTGAGAATATTTTGCCATGATTGTTTTAATATTCGGATGAGTGATACAGGCCCTCTGGTCCTCTTGTTGACAATTCATCAGTAGATACAGGGAATTCATATCAATATAGGCTTTAAAGTGTACCCTGAACGTTTTGCTATGAAAATACTTCATATTATACAATAAAAGACTATGAAAGTGTGAAAGTCGTAGTTGACTCCGTTTCCGAGATATTGTGATTTATATGAAAAACACACCTTTGGCTCAGCGGCGATTGCCTCGATATGGGTAGCCCACATCTGTGACATCACAAGTTCAACGCTGTCAAAACAGCCCTATAGGAATATACCGGGAAGCTTCGACCGTGCGTTCGTTATGTGAGATTTTTAGCTAATTATATGATATATTCCATCGTCACTTACTTGTGTAGATAATATTTAAAGACTACATACATATAAATGAATTTTTTTTTCAGTTTTAATGATGAAATGAGTTCCTCCTGAGGAGGCAAACAGTGTGTTGGATGCTATCTAAATGAATATGTGTTTTTAGCTCACCTGGTCCGAAGGACCATAGTGAGCTTATGCCATGGCGCAGCGTCCGTCGCTGTCTGTTGTCAACTTTTTCTTTAAAACCAATCTTCTCCTAAACGCCAAAAAGGATTTCATCCAAATTTGGACTGAAGCATCAGTAGGGACAGGCAATCGTTTCTTAAATAAATGAGGGTTGTTCGACCCCTGAGGCCAGGGGAGCAGGGCCCTGAAGGGGAACTTAACTAAATTTGCTTTAAAACGCATCTCCTACTAAACACCAGAGAGGATTTCAACCAAATTTAGTCTGAAGCATCAGTAGGAAAGGGCAATCATTTCTTAAATAAATGAGGGTGGTTCAACCCCTTAGGCCAGGGGGCAGGGCCCTGAAGGGGAACTTAGCTAAAATTTTGCTTTAAAATGCATTTCCTAAAAACCAGAGAGGATTTTAACAAAATTTGCTCTGAAACTTCATTAGGGGAGGGCAATCATTTCCTAAATAAATGAGGCTGGTTTGACCCCTAGGGCTAGGAAGGCCGGGCCCCAAAGAGGAAAATTATCTAATATTTTGCTATAAGACGCTAATACCCCTTAATTGCCTGAGTGGATTGTACAAAACTTGGTTAAAAAACATTGTTGAGGAGAAACAATCATTTCTTAATTAGGACCCTGTATCAGAGATATGGGTGCCCTATAGTAATCACTATGTCTGTCTGTCTGTCCGTCCACAAATTTTGTTCCTGGCTGATAACTTTGGTATTTATTGACCGATGTATATGAAACTTGGTCAAGATGTTCAGTTCACAAAAATACACACTGAGCTAAAAAGTCAAGGTCAACGGTCAAGGTCATAAGATTCAAAGGTCAAGGTCAAATTTTGCATATTTTCACTGATGAACATTTTGTTATGACATGATGAAGCAAAGTTGATCAGAATTAAACAAGGAGTCAACCTGACTAAATGTCAAGGTCATAGGGTCAAAGGTCAAGGTTAAATTTTGTATCTTTTCACTGGTGAACATTTTGATATGACACTTTGAAGCAATGTTGCTCAGAATTAAACAAGGAGTCAAATGACTTAAGGTCAAGGTCACTCGGTCAAAGGTCAAGGTAAAATTTAGTATTTGTTTGCTGGCGAACATTTCATTTTGACACTTTGAAGCAATGTTTGTGGGAATTAAACAAGGAGTCATTTGACCAAAGGGCCAGGTCACTGGGTCAAAGGTCAAGATCAAATTTTGTATCTTTTCACTGATGAACATTTTGTTATGACATTATGAAGCAACTTGTTCAGAATTTAGCACAGAGTCAACTGACCTTAGGTCCAGGTTACGGTGTCCAAAGGGTCAAGGTCAAGTTTTGTATTTTTCACTGATGAACATTTTGTTATGATATTATGAAGCAAAGTTGGTCGGAATTAAAGAATAAGTCAACTGACCAAAGATCAAGGTCACTGGGTTAATGGTCAATGTCATTTGGGTCTAAAGGTCAAAGATAAAGTGAATCTCTGACTTTGACCCTGGCTCTTGATGGAGGAGGTATATAAGGTGAAATAAAACAAATCAAAGCTAACAAATGAGTATTGCACCAGTATTTACATTTCTGTTAGCCCAGCAAATATGGAGGTGGAAGGAAACAAGACTCACATCATAGTACATGTAAAATGTATATTTTGCTTCATTGTGATTCTTTTTGAAGTCCAAATGTCAAATGTCAAGCTCAGCTATATTGGCAGGTTGTTTCTTGATGATTGTGGGGGATTATTGCCACAAGACGGGGCCCTGAATGACTGTCAGTGTTCTAGTTGAAGGAGGTTGATTTGACCCCTTAAATTTCATATAAAGATGTAGTAATGCAGTCAGTTGTAATGACTAAAACCAGGTGAGCTATACAGGTCCAATGGACCTCTTGTTTACATAAGTGGTTTAAATCTAGTGACTGTAAATAATATACTTCTTATTATTTAATCGATCTTTAGAAAATTTGATAAACACATATATAAAACACAAAACAATGATTAAAAATTGAGTCAAATTAACGTAGGCGCACCCAGAGAATATAATATATACGTCTGTGGCACACCCCACCCCTTTTTTTACAATATGTAGATATACGATTGGAATTGACAAAATAATGCACCGGTACAATAATTAATTCTCAAAATGAGCAGCGCAACCCGTGTTTTTTTCACTCCCAGTCATAAAACTTGAAACGTTTTTATTCTGTATGCAATCCAAGGAATTTAGCACATAATAAATATACACACCACTTCTAAGAGTATTGCAGACGGAGAACCTGTCCGTTCAAGTCTCAGAAAGATTAGTTATTTATCAATGAACCACCTGATCAGATATATAGCATGGTCCAGTATTAATTGGCACGTTTCTGACTTTCATCTGTCGAGTGATGCAGTTGTACTGATCGTGGCTTGCATATAATGTGACTCTGTGACAGTACTAATATCTACGTCTCTGCTTATACATTTCCCTGTTATCTTACCTGAGGACATTGTTGTTAAATTGAAAATTGGAAGACACATAATCTACACCAATTTTCATACTTACTTCAAGAACCCCCTTGCCCACCTGCTGACATGCATTCCTTTGATGTCATACCTGTACACAGGAATAAAGGCGTGACTTGGGCCTCCTGCTGTCAGCACTGGACACAGGTGTTTAGTGTTATTTACCTGTACACAAATTTCATACCCAAGTATGCTAAGGGAGTGGATCAAGATGATTTTCATTATTTAACCAAGATGTTAAATTATAACTTACGTATGCTACATGTATACGGAGAAACAAAAAATGTTTTAATCTCATAATTCAATTATATTATCGAGATAAATGTAATCACGGAATTAGATCATAAAAGTCTGTGATCTAATTTAGCATCGCATATATATATATATATATAAGGTACTGTATTGTATACAATTAAATGTTTGAAATGTCGTCCTAACATAAGGAAGAAACAATGTCGTCGATTTGTCATTATACGGTGATACTAAAAATATTGACATTTAAAAACAGCAGACACCAACGTTGAAGTTATTTTGTAAACATTTTCACTGATATATTTCCGTACATATACCTTTATTTCAATATAAATATAACTGGTCACGATGTAGTGCTGTTCAATGACGACATGATCGGATAAGTTCTCACTGTAGTTGAGCAGAGACATATAAAGTATATACGTCTCTGTGTGGAGTAAAGAAAATGACTTTCCAGCTAAAATTAAGAAATATCTTTGATCGACAACATTGAGACTATTTTTGTTTAATTTCCCTCAAACTCGTTCATTGGAAAAAATTCTCATCAGTGCTTAGGATCAGGACATGCAATGCTACCAGTCTATTTTACCCTATTCAGAGTCGTCAGTTTGGTTTCGAGATCAGTTTGGTTTGGTGTCTGGAAATTCTGGCAAATTTTATATGGCTGGATACCATCTACATAATGTTTAACTTCAGCATAATCTGATTCCTCAAAACTAAAGAAATATTAATTCGCAATCTGATGCTATATAACCATGGCTGTTCTTGATAATCGCCTATTCCTTCGATGGTGACCGCTACAGGCGTTGAACTGGGGACGTCACAGCCGAAAGGGGCCAAATCACTGCGAGTTACGATTATGCTAATTAGTAGAAGAAGGACAGGTGAAAATCGTACAATTAACACGTCAACGTCTCAGTATTGGGATGACCGATTTTTATACGGGGTTTAACAATTTTGTGTTTAGATCATAAAAAATAATAATATGTTCATTTCTATTTTCTTTCAGGGTGCACTTTAAAAGGATCTCTTTATATGAAAACAAAAAGAAAATGACAGGAAATTTTCCGAAATCTTTCTGTCATGTTTGGTTGATGTCAGAGATCTCATATTTCATAATATAATATTAAACATCGCTCATTGTTACCCTATAAACCATTATCACTGTGCATTGCTTTGTAACAAAAAGATCCTGTTTTACATTACAGAACGGTGTGGTATCATCCCACTGGAGTCAGAAGTTGATGTATGGTTCTATCATGGCCCCAAAGTTAGGAATGGTGAGTACAGGGTTCACCTTGTTTCATTATATAAAGCTTACTTTGTCTAAGGGACTGTCATCAGTCCTTCATCAGTTTATTCTCCTCATATATGGTCTGAATGACTCCAAGTATTTAATGAGATTTGGTGTGCTGCTTTCTTGGGAACATGTAATGTAATGTTGTATAAGAAAAACATATGAATCCCCTCCCTGTGAAATTTCCTTTGAATGAGGAAATCAAATATTATATAAATACTGGATGTTGTCCTCCTTGATAATGAGAAGTAGACCCCGAAATGGGAAAATGTTTGCATGGTACTATTTATAAGTTGTCATGATTGTTTAGACATCCAGGTCAGCAACATATACAGGCACTCTAGGCCTCTTGTGTATCTAAACACTGAATTAAATTTCTGCTAATTCATGTTACATTTTATGTTCAGGTTTTAGATTTATATACCCTATATGGACAATGTAATTGTTATATTCCCAGGCTCATCAAACAGTGGTTGACCCTTTGACCTTGGCATTCTTTGAGGACACTGGATGGTACAAGGTGGACTATGATCAAGCAGGACAATATCTTTGGGGAAAAGGTCAAATTAGCACACTCAAATGGATTGTTGTATTTATGTTTTTAAACTGTATACTGATGGTTAATTTTTCTCTGCTTTTCTCAAAAGTGGAAAAACTTTCATTCTTAATTTCTACTGCCCATAAAAGCTCTTGAAAATATAAATCTTTAACCTGATAAAAAGCAAAACCTGTTTTCTTCATCTGATTTTGCCTGTGTATTTATGAACATAATGACTATAAATACATCCTGTACAGAAAATAATCTCATTGGCAATATTACGGGAAAAAATCAGTATTGTTTTAAATAATGATTCAGTCTTTCCATGTATGAAGTTTATATCACTAATAGTAATATTAAACACATATAAAGTCTTCTAGTTTATACGTTTTTGATCCATTTGAAATTATCTTGGTAAATTGACATTAGTGTTGGTCCACAATCCGAGGTTTGTTTCTGTATCTGAGGTATTTTGTTCCTTAATAATGGAATAGTCCACGGAAAAGCAACTTATAGCATTGACTGCCTCTCTGCATGTTTAGACATACTGTATAAACATACTGTCTAGACATACAGTATAAACATACTAACTAGACATACGGTATAAACATACTGTCTAGACATACTGTATAAACATACTGTCTTGACATACGGTATAAACATACTAACTAGACATACAGTATAAACATAATAATTAGACATACGGTATAAACATACTGTCTAGACATATTGTATAAACATACTATCTAGACATACAGTATAAACATACTGTCTAGACATACTGTATAAACATACTGTCTAGACATACAGTATAAACATACTGTCTAGCCATACTGTATAAACATACTGTCTAGACATACAGTATAAACATACTGTCTAGACATACTGTATAAACATACTGTCTTGACATACGGTATAAACATACTAACTAGACATACGGTATAAACATAATAATTAGACATACGGTATAAACATACTGTCTAGACATACGGTATAAACATACTATCTAGACATACGGTATAAACATACTGTCTAGACATACGGTATAAACATACTATCTAGACATACGGTATAAACATACTGTCTAGACATACGGTATAAACATACTATCTAGACATACGGTATAAACATACTGTCTAGACATACGGTATAAACATACTATCTAGACATACGGTATAAACATACTGTCTAGACATACGGTATAAACATACTATCTAGACATACGGTATAAACATACTGTCTAGACATACGGTATAAACATACTATCTAGACATACGGTATAAACATACTGTCTAGACATACGGTATAAACATACTATCTAGACATACGGTATAAACATACTGTCTAGACATACGGTATAAACATACTATCTAGACATACGGTATAAACATACTGTCTAGACATACGGTATAAACATACTATCTAGACATACGGTATAAACATACTGTCTAGACATACGGTATAAACATACTATCTAGACATACGGTATAAACATACTGTCTAGACATACGGTATAAACATACTATCTAGACATACGGTATAAACATACTGTCTAGACATACGGTATAAACATACTATCTAGACATACGGTATAAACATACTGTCTAGACATACGGTATAAACATACTATCTAGACATACGGTATAAACATACTGTCTAGACATACGGTATAAACATACTATCTAGACATACGGTATAAACATACTGTCTAGACATACGGTATAAACATACTATCTAGACATACGGTATAAACATACTGTCTAGACATACGGTATAAACATACTATCTAGACATACGGTATAAACATACTGTCTAGACATACGGTATAAACATACTATCTAGACATACGGTATAAACATACTGTCTAGACATACGGTATAAACATACTATCTAGACATACGGTATAAACATACTGTCTAGACATACGGTATAAACATACTATCTAGACATACGGTATAAACATACTGTCTAGACATACGGTATAAACATACTATCTAGACATACGGTATAAACATACTGTCTAGACATACGGTATAAACATACTATCTAGACATACGGTATAAACATACTGTCTAGACATACGGTATAAACATACTATCTAGACATACGGTATAAACATACTGTCTAGACATACGGTATAAACATACTATCTAGACATACGGTATAAACATACTGTCTAGACATACGGTATAAACATACTATCTAGACATACGGTATAAACATACTGTCTAGACATACGGTATAAACATACTATCTAGACATACGGTATAAACATACTGTCTAGACATACGGTATAAACATACTATCTAGACATACTGTATAAACATACTGTCTAGACATACGGTATAAACATACTATCTAGACATACAGTATAAACATACTGTCTAGACATACGGTATAAACATACTGTCTAGACATACTGTATAAACATACTATCTAGACATACGGTATAAACATACTGTCTAGACATACAGTATAAACATACTATCTAGACATACAGTATAAACATACTGTCTAGACATACGGTATAAACATATTGTCTAGACATACTGTATAAACATACTATCTAGACATACGGTGTAAACATACTATCTAGACATACAGTATAAACATACTGTCTAGACATACGGTTTAACAGCGAGATGTTTTTGTTAGTACCTTTCTATGGTTTGAAGCTGTATAGAGAGACAGCAGCCAAGTATAATAATCATCATATAATAGCATTTTCAGTTAAATACCTATTTTAAAACTAAGTATTGGATTAAAAATCTGGGTCAGGCAAAATCTCCCCCATAAATATTAAAAGCTGGCATGTAACAGTAATAAATAAATAAATTATAAGACTATAAAGGACTGGGTTTTCTAGAACAACACATGCCTGAGGTCAGTTATGAGATGTTTATATGCATCAAAGCAAGAAAGCTTTTTAGGAATTTCATCTAGGTTTTGTTTGCCAAATCATGTTTCCATATCCTTTAAAAGTCAGTTAACTATTTTTTTCCAAACAGATACTGGATGTAAATTTGGGTTCCATGAGAGTTGTCAGAGAGATTCAAGGTTCTTCTGTAAGACTGGAAAGTAAGTCAACCAAGAAACTAAATAGCTGATTGTCATGTATGTTGATATTATCCTTTCTCTGATTATTTTATTAACTTAAATTTAGCTGAATAAACTAGAAACTTGAACTCGTATTTTCTTATACTTAGGGTTATACAATTCCACTATAAGATGTCTTGAGCTAGTAAATTTTATGTCAGGGCTAGTTACCGTTTTAAATATTTACTATGGAAATATAAGTCTAGCTTGTATAAATTTCAAAAATTGACCTACAGACTAGCACGTAATTGTACACATTGAATTACATATCTGCAACAGCTTATTTTGGTGATGAACACTGCCCCAGTTAAATGTCCTCACTTAGAAATTTAAAGGAATGCAGCATGTTAAATACAACCGAAATTATTTCAGTCCTAGGGACCCAGACCAGCCCAGCATGTTCATAGAGGTCAAATAAATCACATCCTGTAGTTAGAGGTGATTGTGTGTTAACATCCTAGTACTAACACAGCATGGCCATGTGATGACTGTTTGTGTCCCAAACGTGAGATAGCTTGTATCCCTCAGGTAAGATAGCTTGTGTCCCTCAGGTAAGATAGCTTGTGTCCCACATGTAAGATAGCTTGGGTCCCTCAGGTATGATAGCTTGTGTCCAACAGGTAAGATAGCTTGTGTCCCTCAGGTAAGATAGCTTGTGTCCAAAAGGTAAGATAGCTTGTGTCCTACATGTAAGATAGCTTGGGTCCCTCAGGTATGATAGCTTGTGTCCCACAGGTAAGATAGCTTGTGTCCCTCAGGTATGATAGCTTGTGTCCCACAGGTAAGATGGCTTGTGTCCCTCAGGTAAGATAGCTTGTGTTCCACAGGTAAGATAGCTTATGTCCAACAAGTATGATAGCTTGTATCCCTCAGGTAAGATAGCTTGTATCCCTCAGGTAAGATAGCTTGTGTCCCACAGGTATGATAACTTGTGTCCCACAGGTAATATAGCTTGTGTCCCTCAGGTATGATAGCTTGTGTCCTTCAGGTAAGATAGCTTGTGTCCCTCAGGTATGAAAGCTTGTGTCCCACAGGTTAGATAGCGTGTGTCCCTCAGGTTAGATAGCTTGTGTGTTAAATCATTCAAATGCTTATTCTCATTCTAGCAAGCATGCTAATTAGTCTCCAACCAGTTCCTGGGGGGTACTATTAGGTTTGCACTCTATCCTTCCATCCTTCCAATTTTCGAGAGGTTTGTCTGGGACATATCTTCTATATTATTTCACCTGGAGTAACCAGATTTGGTGTACAAGGACATCTATGGATGGAGGAGTGCAAGAAGTATGTATCAGGATTCTTTCCTAACAGTAGGTACATCCTGACATAAGTGTACTGTTTGTAAGTATAGAAATCATTACCAGTGGGGGACTATGGATTGCCTTGCAATACTTTGCCTTGTTTTAAAAGAAACAATAATATATGTACTTTATAAATTGTTATAAATGTTAAGGGCCCCCCATCAAAGATTAGGGTGTACTATTGTAAAGTCATTGTCCATCAGTCTTCCTGTCTGTTTGTCCACACTTTCATTTATAGAGATATCGATTATCTCAGAATCCAGAAGTCTAAAATTTCAGAAATTTGCAATGCACTTTAAGTAGATATGCAGTAGGTAAACAGGCCTTTAGGTGAAGGTCAAAGTTAGTGTTGTTAAAAATAGGAAAGGGACTAGTGTCAAAGCTATTTCATGTTCCATCAATTTCAAAATGATAAGCTTGTATACATATATTTAAAATGTATTTTTATAAATGTAAAAACAATGAACCTTATCAGGTCAAGGCCACTCACTGTAGTTACTAATATGACCAATGCTTGTCTAACCAAAGTACCAGTAGTAAGTAGCTTAATTCATGTCTGCATGGTAATGTCTGGATATCAGAAATGGTGTATTAATAATGTATACTGAGAAGTCGCTTTTAAACTTTCATCATAATAGCGAATATAAGGACACAAAATAACTAACAATAATACAAAGAAAGGCAAAATAACACCGGGTGATGATGGATTTTACTGGGGTAGGACAAAAGCTTCCCAGGCTACGGTATATATTAAGTGTTTTGTATAACATCCTAATGGCTTCCATATTTCAGTGGTAAGTCCTGTCACTATCTCCACAAGGACAAAGGCCACTGTAAGACAGTGGACAGGTACTGTGGTATGGTGGAGTCTGACCAAGGGGTGAGTCTGTCAGCTCAGTCATTTGTCCCCTTGGGTGTAGTGAGATTATCAATGTCCCCTTGGGTGTAGTGAGATTATCAATGTCTCCTTGGGTGTAGTGAGAATATCAATGTTTCCTTGGGTGTAGTGAGAATATCTATGTCCCCTTGGGTGTAGTGAGAATATCAATGTCCCCTTGGGTGTAGTGAGATTATCTATGTCCCCTTGGGTGTAGTGAGATTATCAATGTCCCCTTGGGTGTAGTGAGATTATCAATGTTTCCTTAGGTGTAGTGACATCATCAATGTCACCTTGGGTGTAGTGAGATTATCAATGTCCCCTTGGGTGTAGTGAGATTATCAATGT